TTCAGACCCCTGGTTCGGGTCGTTACAGGAATAGTCTTGGAATCGATATTATTGTTGGATCATTATTGATACTTCTCATTTATAGACTATGTTGAACATGTTAGTAGTATTGTGGTACATAGAAGGGACTATGTCATTTAGTAATAGATAACCGTCATGACTCACATTGGTAATTTATTTACCATGGTATTTATAATGACCAACTTAAGGACTCAATCTGATTAATAATGCACACTAATGACTAGTAATTATTGGAGAAGTGTTTTCCTATTTATTCCTTACTTGGATGGAAAGTGGAATTAAGGTTACTAAAAAGAAAATTGGCCATCTCTCTGCCTTTATAAAAGTATATATATCCCATCAATTATGTATGCTAATGAAAACAACACGTATAATTTTTATGTGTGCAAAAGGCCAAGAGAGAGAAATCAGTTTCCACGCTTTGCCTATTGTTCAGAGTTGCGGCTTAGTTCGTTATTAAAGGATCTCGACGTTGGACTTGATCTCTACGATATTTGCAATCACAGATCGAGGTATTTATATTTTACTACTTTATTTATGCATTATAGGAATGTGAGAATAATGAAGTTCTAAGATCTTTGGGATTTATGTTTATTTGTGATTAATGCTTCACACGAATTATTAAAGTTTACAGATATAAGTTAAGAGATAATTTTAAAATGTATATAGTCAAGGGTTTTGTGATTTAGTAGTACCTCATTTACCTTGCAAAGTAGATTAAGGGTTGAGTCTTAAGAAGACAAAGTAGTGCTACGTTTGGTGTACAGGAATGGAATGGAATGGAATGCCTATTCCAACTATTCATTTGTTTAGTATGTAGGAATGAAATGGAATGACCATTCCAATGGAATGAAAATCCATTCCATTACTAAACCTATGAAATGGCCATTCCATTCCATACTAAAATTAAATATTTTTGTAATATTCCCAATAAGCCCTTCATCACATTCCAATATTACAAAAATATTTGCATAGACCAAAAATCTTTCACATTCTATTTTTCAAGTTTCTTGAGCTTCTTTATTAGACGTGGTAAAGGTCTTTCACCTTCCCTCTCTTCTGAATATATTCAGAGCTGCTATTGACAAAAAGTTACAGGACCTTTAATCATATTATATATATATATATATATTAGTCTTTACATCAGCTTCTTAGGTTCAGTATTCAACCCGTTTTTGGATAAAATTGTACTGACATAATTTTAATTAGATTGATTTTATTAAAAAGTAATGAAAATTGTATTTTTGAGAAAAATCATTCCATTTTAGATTTAATGATAGTTAATCAAACAATAGAATGGTAATAATAATTCCATTCTATAATGATTCATCGTGTCACACCAAACATTAGATTCTTATACATCAAACATAGCATAGGTGTCTTAGTGATGTTTTTTGACAATAAAAAATAAAAAATTAAAAAATTGTAAAATGTTATGCTGACTTTCTCACCAAAATAATATAGCACCCGCTAACTTTTTTTCCTAAATAGCACCCGCTAACTTTTACTAATACAGAAAGTGGGGCTGACTTTACCTTCCAATTTTTTTTAAAAAAAACTAAATAAATAAATAAAAATAAAAATTAGTGGGTATATAGTATTATTTGAGTGAGAGAAAGCCAGCGCCAAAGAGGGCTTACCTTACCTTCCAAATATATATATAGGGTTGGACTTTTTGAACCCCTTATTTTGGGATTATTTTGGTCAGGGACAACGTCATCTTATAATGTCATGCGAAAAAAAAAAAAAAAAAAAAACTAATATATTTTATTACATAAAAATATATGATTTATTCAAATTATGTAATTCGTAATTTCTCCATTTGATGCAGTCCTTTCCGTGCTTTTAGGACTCTTATTCGGCAAGGTCTGGTACGGGCCGAAGAACTTCCTCATAAGGCAAGTAGCCAACCTAGCCAAGGCCCTGAAGAAGCCTACCTCTCTCTAGTCCATATACTACCCATCCCCCATCCTCATGCTTGGGAATGCATGCTATGCCCTAACTTCCATTTAGAGTTTAGATAGGAGTATGGGGATTTCATCTCATATTGTTATCCTCATCATCTTCTTCTTTATCTTTTCTTGGGACTCTGAATTCCGAGATAAATTCATCACATTAATTCCTCCCTTCCCAAAATGATTTATTTAAATCCACGGTGCATGAAATTCATGAGCTCCATGCAATCAATTGGGGCAACAAGCACAATGAGCCGTGACATTCATTTTATTTGTATAATTGATATGTTTGTTGGAGTGGAGAATAATTTTTTTTGCACCCGTTGCACTGTATAACGGATGCATCTGCCAATTTTTATTGAGAAAAATAAAATAGAGATGGGACGAAATTATGCAAGCTACTAGGGTAGCTCATTACAATTTGAAGCCTAGAACGAGAATTCTAAAGTAAGCTTTTTGGTATTATACAATGTTTGACATTTCTGTCTCTTAGACTATGTATGGTAAAAGAAAAAAAAAAAAAAATATGATACACATATACATCATAAACTAATAAAAGCATTGCATATGATAACTGCTAGCATACATGTTACAGATTTACATAGACCTTAATAGTACATTAATTACCATTTTATTTGCTATAGATCACAATTCTTTTTTACTGTGGAATAAGGATAGTTGTTACAAGTGAAACTTGTCTCACATTGGATTTGGATAGGGTTGAAGTGTGTATAAATGGGTGGGTATGTAGCATTACCCAATAGTTCGAGCTTTTGGGTAAATGGACAAGCGCCCACCCATTACAGTTGGTATCAGAGACAGACCCAGTCCTTAATCCGGTGTCACGCCAAGCGCCCGGCCCGGAAGGCGTCCGGGTCTGCCTCTGGGTAGGCAGGGTGGTCGGACCGCAACGAGGGCGTTGCGTGGGTTCGGGTGGGGGAGAATGTTACAAGTAAAACTTGTCCCACATCGGATTTGGATGGGGGTTGAAGTGTGTATAAATGGGTGGGTATGCTGCATTACCCAATAGTTTGAGTTTTTAGGTAAATGGGCAAGCGTCCACCCGTTACAATAGTACATTTTACAATCGTGAGAATTCACAGCAGCTGATAGTTAAAACATTTAAAAATAATATATATATATATATATACTATCTCCGTCCTATAATAGATGTCCATATTTAGAAATTGAAATTTTTAAGGAGATATGCAATTAATGCATTGTTCTTTTTAAAATTACTAAATTGTCCTTTTTAATTTAAATATATATAGTTACAAAGTTTGAATTTTTTAAAAAATATAAAGGACAATGATAAAAATATAAAGAAAAGATGTTTTGACTTTTCAAAGAAAACAACTAATTTAGAACATGTGAAAAGGTAAAAATGGATTACTATTATGGGAGTAAGGGAGTATATATTTAATATCACTGCCAATTGGCAAATCAAACGAGATAATGACAATGCTTAATACTAGCTAGCTACCCTTGTAATTATGGCTAGAATCCATCATCTTATGGAGAATTTTGAATATTAATTTCGACTAGAATGGACCATATTAGAGACGCAAAAAAAATAAAAAGTTGGTTGGAATAATAAATAATTAACATGTGCGGTCCATTCACATTATTTAATATATTTAGAAAGAAAAATGATTCTTGTTGCATTGAATTACTATACTACTTTTTTAATTGGTCAATTATGTAATAATTAAATAAGGAAGTGAAGCCCTCCACCTAGTTGTATTTGATATAAATAATTAATTAAAAATTATTCGGTTAAACAATACATTATAAATATTCCGTATGAGAATCACTACTCATCTAGAAATAACAGAAATTATTAGATGGTTCTGGACAATCGGCCACTTGGTGGTCCACTCTAATCAAAATTAATGTTTAGATTTCTTCACAATATATTACTATACTCATGTTGGTCCATTTTTATTAATTGTAGAGTATGAATTGAACTAGATCACAAAGTATATGTGGTCCAAGGCCATGTAATAATTTTTAAAAAATGCTTCCAAGGCTTCGTTCTAGCTTACTTAAACGCATCATTTTATATAATTTTTGTTTTGGATAAATTGCACTTATATTCCTTACAGTTTACTTATACTAGAGAGACATCCCTACATTGACACGTATCTTCTATAATGTCATATTTGACGGGATGAATATACTTATAACGTGGCATAGCTTGTGCAATCAATATCTACTCCTCTCCAAGACCATCTTTCTATTGGAAGATTTTCTCTTAAGAAAGTCCAAAACCACCTGCCCAATTCTCTTCAATTGGAAAGTCAAGAATCAAAATAGTCCTAGTCTCATTTCTTACAGTTACCAACTCAATTGAATCTTTGCTTTCTATGTTACTGAATCTGAATCTGTTTTAAGTGTTCCTTTCATGGTATTTATTTATTTATTTATTTTTGGAATGGTAAGTTCAAGTGTGTGTGTATATATATATATGTGAAAAAACTGTACATATCCATTTTGGGTCAAAAGATACAAAGTGGCCCATCGGCCCATTGAAACTTGTAGACTGGGCCTATACAAGTAACCCAATACAACTGAAATTGTAAAGCATAGCCATATTTTCTTATAATTTCCCTTTATAGAAACTTATAGTATGAAGTTAATTACTTGTATAAAAGAGGCTTAAAAGATGGTTTTTGCTTGGATTTCTTGTTTGCTGGATCTCTATTTGAATCATTTTATAAACATGACAAGATCATGAGAATCTCATAGAAGGAACAAAATCTAAGTTTTATTGGTAACATTTTTTTTTTTTTTTCCCCGTAACTTGAAGTGCTATCATTTTCAACAAATATCATTGCACGACCTGTCAAGTTGTATAAGAGAAGCAACCGAGGAGCACATATAGCTCGCATGAGGGCCCTAACCAATAGCATACCCCTTAATTTAAGAGGAAGAGGAGATAATATTTGAACTAAACTCCTATTATTTCACCTACTAATTTATAGTATTAATATATATATATATATATATTTCATTCGCATGTGGTAACATAAAAAAATACAGATCCACGTAGACCTCAACAATACATTATTGCATTTTATATGCATTGAATTTGTTCAAAATCACAAATTCACAATCTTCTCTTGTTCGGTTGGATGCTACAATACCACATACATAGCCGCCTCCTTTTTTTTTTATTGTGGATTTAGGACATACATTTTACAATCATGAGAATCCACGTCAGCTGATAGTTGGCCCTTGACTGGACTTTGAGTCGAATGCTGCATATACAATATTCCAATAACATTTAAAACAAAATGTATTTTTTTTAAATAAAAAAAAAAAGACAAAAAAAAAAATAATAATGTAAGATTACGTATAAAGTACATCAACGAAATTAATATATATATATAAAACTTATTAAACTAACCGCCCACAAATCTCGTGCTTTCACAATGGTAGTTGGCTTGAAACCAATATCAGACCAATGAGCAGTAATTGTAGCTTTAGAAGCTCCCCTGTTCCATAGGACTAATGCCACTCTGTTGCGACTAAGTGGACCTGCCCATACCTGCAAATATGTATGTGTATATATATATATATACATATCAGGAAAAATATTACTAAAATTCAAGCTATGTACAGTAGGGTGTTAATTTAATCTGTCAATTTGTGAAATCGATCCGATACGTGCGGATTGGTTCGGTTTTTTAGTCTCATGGTTCAATTACAGATTGATAGATAAAGAATTCGTAGTCCAGGGATTGATTAACGAATTAGGGTCTTAAAAATCGATCCTATCTGTTCAAATATATATATATATAAATATATATATACACTATTTATATTTTCTTTATTCTTTTATTATTTTAAGTTTTACTAGCTTTTATCTACTCACTTTTAAGTTCTACTAAAAGTTGAAAATTCATTGATTAGGCCAAAATAATAATATTAGACTACTTAGAAAAAGGCCAATATGTGAAATCAATTCGATCCGTAAAATGGCTTGATTCGATCCGATCCAATTCATAATGCAACGGATCGAATTGAATTCAATTTTCACCAATTCGTAGGGAACGAATCGAATTAAATTTAAAGTCTAATCCGATCCGATTCGTGATCACCACTTATGTATAGGAACATTGAAACAGTGCTTTGCAATTGGAATTGTTCTGATTCCAATTTACCAATTGCAAATTACGGATTCAGTACTTCAAATGCAATGCAATTTTTTTTATGCCACGATGGATGCTAAGCATATGTATAAGTTGACAAGGATGATCAATTTAACCAAAGATACAGCAAAGTAATAAAGAAAATTTTAAAGGATTGAAGTGCAATAAATTATACCTCTAAATTTCCATTCTTTTTAACCTTTTTCCCTTGAACTCCAAGTTTATCTGCACACATATCCATAGTTTGTTACGTAAATTTATTTTTAAAAGCCAACTATATTATGTTTGCCTCATGGCATAATAGCGTTGGTAAAGATCCTGAGGTAAGTTTTTGAGGTCTCATTTTTTAATTGCACTTTTGATTTAAATTGTGCGTATGTTATAAGATCGATACACGTACTCTAAAAAAAATATATATATATACATAATTACATACCTTGATTAACTGCAATAACTTTCTTATTGCTCAGTAGTTTGTAAGTCACACTATCGAGGGATCGAATATCACACCCAATCAATAAAGGAGCCTACATTTATTTAAAATTTATATATATAAATCTAATTAATAAATAATTTTATATACAGACATTTTCAACGTGTTGTAATCACTCATTATATCTTGTAAGATTATCATAAAATTCATTTTCACCGTATAGAATGTACCTTAGCTAATGCCCATATGCTAAAATGAGAACGATATTCTGCTTCTGTCATACGACCGTTTCCAACTTCCAACATGTCGGGATCTGTCATTATAATTAATTAATTCATGATTATAAATATTAAATGTATAAGCATAATTTCTAAACAATAACTTTTATTCAAACCATTTTTTAATTTTTTAATTTTTTTCTCATTTTCATGCTATATAAATTAGATCAAGATTAATGTACTTTAAAATTTTATTACCGTTCCATCCGCCAGGCCCAGCATAAGATGCCCATTTGTCATTCTGATCTGCGCGAGAAGTGATACTAGCAACAAAAAAGTTCAATTTTCATAATAAAATATTCATTGAGAATTTAATTTGTGCAATTAATTAACATGCAGTTTATGAAACGTTACAATTAAAACTAAATTTAATACTCTAAACTTTCATGATAATTAAATTGTGAAATTAAATCAAGTCACATCTTTCTAATTAACTTTACTGACCTTCCCCAATTAGCTTCAATGTCTCCAGTGGTTCTCCAACTATTTCCAATCTTTACAGCCCAAGTTGCTGGATCTTCTTCTCCCCTGTGATTCAGAAAAAGAAAAGAAAAAAAAAAAGTATTTATAAAAAAATAATAATAAATAAATAAAAAAGAAAAGAAAGCAGTATTAGCAACTGATATTGGTTTCCTTTTCAGTATTTTGATTTATCTAATATTATTGATAACAAATAAAATATTGAACAATGTAAAAGAAAGATTAATTAACTCACCATTCACACAGAGAAAAAAAGATAGGCCTTCCGGAGCTTAATAAAGCTTTACTCATTTTATGATACCTATTCCAAAAAAAATTAGCATTAATTGAAATAGAATAAAATTATATAATATGAAAAAGAACATTTATAAATTTACATAATATGAATATTTCTTTGCCATTCAAAAAAATATATTTATATTAAAGAGTGAGTACCTTTCCTTGGGGCCCATATTATTGCTGTTACAGTTATCATACTTCAAGTAATCAATTCCCTATATATGCAGACAATTAAAATGAGGAATTAACCAAATTAATATGTTGTGAGTTTAAAACTTTTTGTCAAACAATAAAGTGATAACATATATATATGTGTGTGTGTGTGTAAATGTGTGTAAACACACCCATGAGGCAAAAGTCTTTGCATCCTGTTCTTCATATCCTAGTGACCCGGGCATAGTGTTGCTACATGTTAGATTCCTGTTCACACAGAAATTCAGTAATGGAAAAGTACTTCAAAAGTGATTGAAATGTGTACAACAATAGTTTATTTTCCAGCATATATATATACACACTATATTTTTCTTCAAATATTTTGTATTTACCATGAGATGTAAAGTAAAATCAAGAGAAACAATACCCAGCATCAGAATAAATTCCAAGCTTTAATCCTTTGCTATGAACATAATCTGCTAGAGCTTTGATTCCCGAAGGAAATGTTGAAGCTTTAGGAACCAAATTCCCCTGCCAAAATTAGACTTTTCAACATAAATCACTACACAAATTCGAAGTATAATTAAACAACTTGTTCACTAATTCTCCATTTTTTTGTAGCCTTTTCCAACAAAAAAGAAATTAAATTGAATTTATAAAAAGTATTAAATTTAGTTTGGACAGATATATCATTGAGGTCATCATATATAAGAAATAGTAAATGAGAATTTATGAAAGAAAAAGTAAAGCAGTACGTACCTGAGAATCTCTATTAAGCTCTGCCCAACAATCATCTAAAACATATAAAATGAGAGTAGTGTTTAGAAATTAATATGTAAAATGTGCATCCTCAAATACTGAAAAATATTCATACTTAATATATATCATACCTAAATTTATATATTCGTATCCAACTGCTGCAAGTCCCGACGACACCATCGCATCCGCTATTATAAAAGAATAATAATCAATTTTAATGTAAATATGTGACAACAATTTGACTGTACAAATTTGAACAATTTGAACAAGTGTATATATAATAATAAATAAATAAATAAAAACCTGTTTCCCTAATTAGTTTCTCGTCGATTTTGCAGCGGAAGTGGTTCCAGCTATTCCATCTGAGAACACCACATAAAAGATATACGTGATGATCTTACCACAAAGCAACTCTAATATATAGTTGATGCACCAAAGTAATACATATATGTATATGTATATGTAAAATGAAGCGACTGGGGGTAGGGTAGCTTACCCCAATTGGGGTGTTAGAGCCAGACCATTTTCCAAAAGGTTCCTCCGATCAGCTTCAGTAGTAGCAATCGATGGTGAGAGCAGTAACATGAAGAAAGATAATAACATGAATGACCGCATGGTTGCTTCGTATGTCTTGAATAATCTCTCCCGGACTGTGTGTAACACCAAGTGAAACACTATACATCAGAGTGAAACACTATAATACCAAGTTTATACTATGAAATGTAAAGAAATATTACTTAGAATTATGAGAGATTATAAAGTGCAAAGACTATTATAACTATTTAGAGAAATGTAGGAAGCAATTCTCTTTTACTTCTCAAATGTGTAATTGATACTTCACACATCAGCGCACACACACACACACACACATATATAGTAGTTGTCCCTGCACTGCAATTGCTTCGCTAATTCTTCTTCTCTAACCCTATATATAGACTTAATACATAAAAGTCATGACAATGCACTTGAGATTCATATTTTCTAAGCCCATGTACACGGCAACGCATACAAGTCATGGCAATGTACTGAGATTCATCTTTTCTAAACCCATGTACACGGCAATGCATACAAGTCGTGGCAATGCACATGACTATAATTGTAGGATAGATCAATTTCTAGTGAGCATTTAAAAGGTGGATCCCATACAATATATATATATATACCATGTACACGGCAATGCATACAAGTCGTGGCAATGCACATGACTATAATTGTAGGATAGATCAATTTCTAGTGAGCATTTAAAAGGTGGATCCCATACAATATATATATATATATATATATATATATATATATATATATATAAAATTGAAGAAAGAAATAAAACTGAACAAAACTTGAATATAACACACAAAATCTACGTCACTTTTTATTACGAACTCTCTTCATTGTATTTACAACTACCCACTTCTATTTATAGATGAGTTAGAAAAGAGTTGTAAATAAAGAATAGTAAAGACTTGTTTTATAAGTATATAAAAATAATTTAAAGAAAGTCAAAAGACAAATATGATAATAATAAATCAATCTTATTAGAAAAAACTTGATATTGGATTATCTTTCCTAAACCCATGTACACGATAATACATAAAACTTGTTCAAACTTTAAATGAAATTTTTTCAAATTTCAATTTCAATGTATCAATTCGATATTTCAAAATGCAGCATTACAGTATTTTGTTGGTAAATTTACTTATATTAGAGAAATATATTTATTTGAATTTTAGTATGTGCACATGCAAAAAGACCACATACTATTGAACATTGAGAACAACAATATTGAACACCGAGAACAACAAGATATTTCTTAGGAAAATGCTCTAATATAATACTGTTGTTGTAAAATTGAAACATACGTATATTATTTTTCTTTCAAAGAAACATCTAAAGAAAAACAAAATTTTAGTAATATATATTGGTATTATTTTTGGTTTCTATTTTTATTTTGATAATTACTTTTTATTGCTAGTAGTAATAGTAAAATTAAATATATAAACTAAAAATAAGATAAGAGTGATTATATTAAAATGAAAGAATATAAGTGGGTTTGAAAAATGACCGTCCACAGAAAGCAAGAGATCAGAACACACTCTCTCTCTCTCTCTATATATATATATATATAAAAACTAAAAATAAGATGAGAGTGATTGTATTAAAATGATATAGGTGGGTTTGAAAATTGACCGTCCACGAGAAGCAAGAGATCAGAACATACTCTCTCTCTCTATATATATATATAACACTTACATTACTAAGACTTGTTCAAAGGCGGTTTTTGTAATTGACTTGAAGCCACATATTTGGTGGTGTCTTGTTCAAAGTTCAAAGCAAGTTATCCAAAGATTTAAATATCATATTAATGAATACAGATCATGTAACTAACAAATTTAATGTCACAATATTCCCAGTTTGTTCATGTACAGAACCTAGTAGTTCATAACTCATACATATATATATTTTAGCTTGTGTCAGAATCTGATTTAACATATCTTAAAATTTTATTGAAATCTAGATAATTCTGATACAATTAGTTGAATGGATGATTCTTTAACAAGTTATGACTACCTTCAGTCGATTGATCATGTATATGTCCAAATAAATAAATCCCTAAAAAATTATTACCTTAATAGTTGTTAAGATATATACATATATCTTTTAGTAGAATTCATCCATAGCAGAGGTTGAATAGCTTTTTATTTGCTGCTTATGATTTTCTTGGTCTTAAACCATTGGGAGATTCAGTTAGGTTCTTTTTTTTTTTTTTTTTTTTTTTTGAGATTCATCTGACTTTATATCTCAAATAAAGTTTTAATATGATGTTTTAAAAAATTTGGTTACATTGCCCAATTTCTCTCCCTAAAAAATAATGGAATTTTAAGGTACTTTTAATTTGTAAACAAAAAGTTGTTGATTAGTTAACCAATTGAATAAGGTGTTGGGAATATTTAATAAAAATTATGACTATAATTAAAGTTTCATTATTATAAATACTAAATATTATTAAATATAATTATTATTATATTTATTCCCCTTACTATTATATTTTAATTCTATATTTATGGTGCAAAGAAGTACAATTTTGACTCTATAAAAAGGGTTACCATACTTACGTGAGAATGATAAACGTGATATAGTGGGGTGTGGCTGTAAGCTTGTTTTGAGAATTCATTCTTCTTTGATTCTTTATTAGTATTTTCATATCGAGTTTAGGGTGACTTCGACACAAAATTGGTATTCACTAGTTTTTGTGGACGTGTTCATAAAAGACCATTGGCGAATATAGATTGTATCTTGAAGTTATAATCGTCCACTTGCACCTGCACGCAAGAAGACCATATGACTTTAAGACAGTACTTGTATGACTCTGATTATCTAGGTCAGTTATTTTCTACTTAGTTTATTATTCTCGTTTTCTTGATTGTTATTACTGAATTCATATTCTATTATTAAGTTATTTGTTATATTGAAATTCTATTACTTATTGTTATATTCATGTGTATTCAAATTGATGTATTCTTATATTCATTTTATTAAAAATCATTATTGTTCATTGATATATTATTTGCTGATGTGTTATTTATGATTAAAATTTGTTAATTTATTCGTAGTGTTTTTATAATTATATGTAAATTCCCCAACATAAGGTTCTAAATATTGATCACTCATGAGAATGGTGCGAATTTGGTTGATAATATTTGTGTTCAAGTTAAATATATTAGTTAATGGAATGTTTATACATTCATATAGGTATAATAAACCACACACAATAATATTTGTGTTTAAGTATGACATATTTAATATTAGGAAAAATTGTACTCACATTCCCAACATTAAGTGACATGAAATCCTTAATATCCTTGCAATAGATTTTCATCCTCACTTAAAATGACCAAACTATCCTCACTAATATACATGCATACATTTTGTATGCTCTCCAGAGGCACAACTTTACTCTCTCATCTCTTTTATTTCAATCTTATCATCCTCTCCCTTTCCTTTCTTGCGGCGGAGGATCGGTGACGTCGGCCTCAGAACACCGCCATAGAGGATGGTCTCCACCGTCGCCTGGCAGTGGCACACGTGCCAGTTACCGGTCCAGGTAAGTCTAACAGTGCCGTTCACCAGATTCACAGTCCGGCCACACTCTCCTCGATCTTTCAACTCTCCATTCTCTCATTGTTCTCTGATATCTCTCATCGTCGTGTCGTGGTTCCCCAACACCTACGTCGCCCAAGTATTCAATAGCTCGGTTCGCTGGATTCACTAACGTCAACGGCAATTTCGAAGGGCTATACTTCGAGTTCATGTCTGATGCGTCAGCGATTGTGGTGGATTGGTTGCTGGGGACGTCACCGGTGAAGACGTTCATCTTACAGTTTTTGAATCTCTCTTAATCACCAATTTCTCAGTTCTAGCTCGGCATCGTGGGTTTCATTATCAGTTCTGGCTCGTCGTCGTCTAGAGGAAGAGCAGCGGCGGCGATTGGTGGTGTAAAGCCCGAGGACTCAACGGTGCTACTCAGAGAAGAACCTGTCCAGGGGTACGACAGATCGCTGCTGGAATCGATGGAAACCCCTCGCCACCGACAAAGCACTCCTCTCTTTCCAGACCACTCCCTTTCATCTTTCTCGCTGCCTCCGTCGCCGTCATCTAACCCTGACCCATCATCAGTTCAAAGACGAAAGTTGGGTGGTAGCTGAAAAGACTGACCAAGAAATAGTGTGTTGTGTTCAACGCATTAGCGAAGTCGGGAAGATCTTCCATGATTTTTTATTTCTTGAGAGTATACATAGCGAGTGTAAGGAATTTGACACTTGATGTTGTATCGGTAGATTACTAAGAGGCTTGGTGGAGTGAACACCGTAAATAAGGTCTAATTTGGGGTAGTGGTGGTGGAAGGGAAGATGGGTGGCGGTGGGCCTAAGTTGGGGTGGTTGTGGAGGTTACGGTGGTGGTGACTGGTGAGTGGTGGTTGTGGAGTGAGTGGAGAGAGAAAAGAAGTATACATATGATGTGTGTATATTGACTGAGGCTACTTTCGTTATTTTAAGTGATAAAATGGTAAATATGTACTTTCATCAGAACTACATAAGAGGTTAAAAAAAAACAAAGCTTTGCTATTTTCACATTCAAGAGGAAGATTAGTGTAATTTATTCAAAAATAATTCGTTTTATTTAAATTCTAATGAGTGGTCGGTCATTCAAAGATATTTCATTTTATTTAAATTTCAATTTATTGCAAACACATGGTATTTCATTTCAATTATGATCAAATTCTTTTTAATTCGAATTTGCTTCTAAACAAAACATTTTCAAATACTTCTAAATATTTTAAGATAAAAAAGGGTAATTTATACGGACCTTTCCTATGATTTGTCATAATTACAGAGATCTCTCCTGTGGTTTAGAAATTTACACGAACCTCTTCTAAAAATGAAATTAACTTATATGGACCTCTCTTCTATTAGAGTCAACATCATTGACAGATTGTACTGACGTCATATACTAAATTAAGTAAAATACCGATAATACCCTTCTCCTTACCGTTATATATATATATATAATCGTTCGTTGTCGGAGCAGAGTTAGCAACCTCTCTGTTACAAACTTGGGAAGCCCCCCAACCAGGGGAAAAACGTGTCAAAGTGACAACACTTGTAGTTAAAGGGTAGAGAAAGCTAATTCAACAACCAAAATATCAGCAATCGCTGGATGATCATCTTATAGAAAAATTTATCGGAATGGTCGAACAGCGGCTAGAATCATAATAACCATGCAAGGAAAAGATCCTGATACAGTGGCTGGAGCTTCTGCAATTGAAAGGACAGGAATCGAAGATCTCATTAATCCCCCCCCCCCCCTCTTAAAAAAAAATAAAAAATGGCCTAATTAAATCGTTAACCCTAACTCTACTCTATCTCACTATGCTCTGCAAATCGCCCCAAATTAGCCTTATCAAATTGTTAACCCTGACTCCACACTTTCTCTCTCTCTATGCTCTGCAAATCACCCCAAATTGGCCTAATCAATTTGTTAACCCGAACCCACTTTCTCTGTCT